TTATAGATTAGATTCCTTTTCGTTCTAACGTAAGCTGCTATTTATACGGGTGATACGAACGATTGAGAAATATTGCTGTTGAAATTCTTCCGAGGCGCAATTGGCGAAAGATGGTCGTCTCTCAGTTTCAGTGAAACAAAAGTTTTCGAACACGAAGTGGACGTGGATCACGGCTTTTACGTTCTCGCAACTCTTTTACCATTACTTTACGCGACGCTGCGCCCAAAAACGTCGGCGCTCACCTGGCCATCTAAGGGCTTTGTGCGATATCTCGTGTTTCGAGCGCCCACAACTTTTGCTCCGAGCGTAACAGTGCACTTAGACGAACACTGGATAGGTAGATAGGTGGGCGCTCGTGAAACATTGAGATACAACTAGGCGTGTCTGCGGTTCGGGGAAATTACGGAGTTAATGGAAGTCCGGGGCGAGGCTTGTTCAGTCGCGTATTAAAGAAGGAAACGGGGTGATATCGTGAAGGATCTCACCTTGTCCTGGAGAAGGAGAATGATCCGCTTTTTTCTCTAGAAATAAAATGTACCAAGCCGTCCGTCGTTACTGAGAGAATTTAACAATAAATCTGTAGTAGACTCGAGAGAAGGATTTTTTAGTATTAGTACCGCATCGGTCTTACGCCATCAGAAATTCATCGATATAAGCGATATGCTCTAAAAAAAGTTTTAAAATGAAAGAAAGGCGTGATTACAACACGATTACCTTTTTATTTTTTTTCCTTTATTGAGAATTGAATTAAGAGCTTTTCGTATAATTGAGTTATCCGGACAAGAAAAAAAATTATCGACAACAGGATATGGAGTTACAATGATTATATGATACTTATTACAAAATAATATTTTTTAACGAATATTCGGGTCGGATTTCGAAGGACGCGGTGTTGCCATCATTAAAAGGTAAAGACATGCTGCCATCTAAAATAATGCCAGCATCAAAGCCTGTCGATGTGACTTCGATTCTGCAACACATTCGCTTGTCCGAAATAAGCTTCGGCCAGAGTGTACTTCGAGACATCTCATATATCATATATGCCATTTTTAAATTGTCTGCAACGCAAATATTCGAAATGTCTTAAGTAATCGTAATTTAATATTTTTATTAAATCAATCTAATTTGATTAAAAACCTATATAGATCGATTTAATAAAATATTAAACTGTAGAGTATCTCCAACGGTTATTAATCTTCAACGGTTACTCGGAAAAATGTCATTGAATATTCAGAAGAATTCATTTTATAATTTCGTTACCTGGTGGAAACAGAAGATTACTGTGATACTTGTGCAACACATTGCAGGTTTCTCTCTCGTCCAGTTGCCTGCCAGTTGCCATGGCCACAAGAGTTTGAATTGTTTCGGCGGTCTGCAAATTCATCGTCTTATACCAGGATCGAGAGCCTGAGCCCGTGCAGACACAGATACCCGAGGAACGGATCATGAATCTCTTCTCTTCATCTGCCTGAACTGTCAAAATGATTGGCCTCGCCGCCAAAAATTCGGCCATGAACACCTGGAAGTACGTGATGAATGTTATCGATCGGACCGGGCGGCGTAGAAATGTTCTACGTCAGATGTAACCTCGTTTAATGCCAGCCAAGGTAAAATTCTCTGACGGGGCTGCAGGGCATCCGCTATTTTCCACTGAGTGGATCTCATGAGTGCGCTGCAAAGATTTCATTTGTTTAGCGCACCTTTAGAGAGACGTCGCGAAACTCGAAAGGAATTAATGAGACGCGAGAGCGAGTTTACAAGAGAAAGAGAGATTACACGGAGACGTAATGGAATATCAAGTGCGCGACGGTTAAATTGTTTCCCGTCGGAAATGTCGAATTAAATCTAATCGTCGAACTAATTCTTTTCGAGAGTTTTCCTTATCGGTTAATCGATAAGGGTTTAGGAAGCCTCTCGCATCGCACACCGTAAAATTCGCGCGAATTCAAAAGTTACGACCTCCTTGCGCAAGTCGTAACTACGCGGGCCTTGTAATTTACAAGTTATAACTACCGAAGTTATACACGCGCATAAGCTGTAGTTTGGAACTTTGGTTGCGAGAAGAGGACCAAGTCAGGCTGGGCAATGAAGACGCACTGCAACGTCCTCGCGAAGGCGCAGAGGGTCGGCGATACCAGCTGCTTATTTCAACTTTAGACTGCGTCGTGGGAGTAGCCGGTAAATAAAAGTTTAGCGAGGGACGTCATTCCCGCGACCGGCGCTTTAATGTTTTCTCTACGCAGGTTAACGGAATTATACGTTATATTTCTTGCGCCGGTTTTCCGCACGCGGCGGCGCACGCATGCGTCTCCATTCCGTCAACCTTGTTATTTCTCGTCTTTGCTTCGTGCAGCCGTGCTCGCAAAACCATTCCCCGACTATCAAAAAGCATTCAAAGCTCTTATCTTTTTGCTCTTATCTTTACATTAATATCGTTCCGAAGAAACTTCCTTTCCAGTTGCGAATAAAGGAAAGACGCCAACCTTGTAAGTCCTTTCTCGCCTTATTCGGCCCTATTCGTTTTAGCACGCTTGATTTATTAATACTATTATTCTATAATGTACTCCAACTCGTTTCTGCGACTCAAGTGAAAATGACGACTGCATCTCTGAGAGCAATGCTGAGAAATTTTGCAGATAAAATGTGAAATACAATTTTGCAGAAGAAAAGCGAGATAAATAATGTTACGATATGGATTTAAGAGAGATATTTCTTTAAGAGAAATATTCCTTTGAGAGAAATATTTTTATCAAATTTGTAAGTTATTCTTTCAGTATAGAACACGTTGGCTAATAGAATGGGAAAAAAAATTACGTTAATCGTTTGTACTGTCAAAGAGAATAAATCAATTTACTCACTCGGCTCTTTTTTCACCGTGCATGCGACTCTTTTCGTGAACATGAAAGGGCTGTTGATATAATCCTTCTCCTGTCATTACTGTACGTATACGACTCCTCATCAAGACGGTGTAATCCCCCGCATGCAGTTTCTCAAATATCCTTTCGATGTCTGTGCTATACTTAACCGGCAGTGTGAAGGTACTGATTCCGGGATGCGGATTAATGCCGAATATCGGCGTTTTATTATTTGTTATCAGTTTCGAGGCCAAGAGAAAGGTGCCGTCTCCGCCGATTGTGATCACCAGGTCGGCCCAATCTACGTAGTTCATGTCGGCTATTCTGTATTTGATCACAAATAAAGTTTTTAATTAATTAACAATTTTTGCCTTTTTTAAATTAACAATATTTGCGATTTTCGTCGTAAATTGGAGCATCGGCCTCGAGAAATTATGTCATGGATTTTCTACTCCGAGAAGAAAAAGCCCTGCGGTAACAGCAGGTTCGTTAACTTACAAAGTAACTCGTTCATAAAGCATATTACCTTTTCATAATCCGATAACTGACGTTGAGATTACATAGAATGCGCGCAAGTTCTTTCTCGCAAGTGAGCTGCCGATGATGCTCCGCGAGGATCTCGTCAGAGTCTATACTTTGTTTTCTCAACTGATTTAATAGCTGATTAGGCGATAAGTCAGAATGCTTGATTTTAAAAAACTCGAAAGCGGATAATTTCGAGATGCCGAGCACGCGTTTCGGCCAGTGCCGATTGTCTCGTAAATAATTTAACAGTCTCATCCTTAACGTTTCACATATCACGCTATAACTTTACATGTCGTCGTTCAATATAAATTAATTATATTTACATTAGGTTATGATAATTGTCATTAACTTTAACCTTCTGTCGGCCAAATGGAATTTTGCATCTTCCGTCACTAACACAGCTGGATCTTTGAACTTCGGTGCAGATTTTAATATTACTCTAGAATATATAAAAATTTGAAAATATTTTTATATATTTATGAAAGCTGTAGTAACAAGTTTTTACTATCATAAAAATTGGATTGTAAAACACGGAAAAAAATATTGCTAAAGCATCTAAAAATTTAAATAATGCAAATCTGAAAATAACTTTGTTATATCATTAAAATAATTATGTAAAAAAATTCAAGCATGATAAGTAATGGTACAAAAGGTTTTGAGATTCTAATAACTAAATAATTATTTTCAAATCTGTATCTAGCTAAATTTTGAGATACCTAAGCAAAACAATTCCGTATATTTTAATTATTTTCTACAGATTTGAATTTACCTATCAGAATTTATAATCAAAATATCGACTGTGTTTTCAAAGTCCCACTTGGCGAAGATTTAAGAAATCATCGACGATTTACGTTTATGGCAAACGAGCAAAAATTAAGTATCCTGTTTAATCAAGTAAATTGTGCGTTTCCAGAAGCGATAAATTCACGTAATTGCATCGGGAAAACTGTTTTATTTATTAATTTCTTGAATGTGCAACGAGCGTGGAATCTTTAAAGCGATGAATCATTAGTAACATCCTCCGCAGCTCGAATTTCCAACGCCGCAGCATCTCAAACCGATGTTTCTCAGCAAGCAGCTCGTTCCGCTACCGGAACTTGCGCAACTATTATATATATCCGACTTTCCACACAATTGACCGCGATATCCTCCGCAAGAAGAAAGACTTTTGCAGGTCAAGCATTTACATTAAATGTACTACTAGCGTAAAATTTAAGCGTATATTACGTGATACTATATATAACATTTTTGCACGCGCAAAGAAATAAATAGACAAACAAAGAAATTTAATCTGAGACAATATCCGAGAAAGATAATTATTCAATAAAATTTAGTATAAAATAGCACAATAATTATTCATCAATTATTCATTATTATCAATTAAAATATTATAATAATATGATAATAAAATATTAATAATAAAATATTGAAATTAATGCAATCTCGAGAAAAAAATATAATCTCAAATGTAACATTTATCTAGTATAAAAATTTAATCGAAATCAAACCAAAGCTATATCAACAACTATGCTGTAAACAGCTGTGAGGTATTGTACATTATTAGAATGAGAGATTGTTAAATTGTATAACTTTCACTTGCAAGGAAAATCTCTTTGCAGCAACAATCTACGTTTAACTTTAGCCTAATTAACAAGTAGCCCTTTCACCTTCATTGGCGTAGTCCCGTCTTTCATCCCGCGAGTCGCGCGTGTTTCACGCGAATAGCATGAGACTATCGAACACGGAGTTGCCTGGAAACATGGGGCTGGTTCTTGGTTGGAATTGGACGGTCTAAAGACGTTGAACACGGAGACGTGTCGTACAACGGCGGCAGCGGACAGGCCGTTGGACACGGCAGTGATTTACATGGGGACAGTTTACACGAGGGTGGTTTACACGCCGGCGGATTACACGGCGGCAGATTGCATAGAGGTGGGTCAGACCAGAGGTGGATGCCACGGCCGGGTTGCAAGCTGGACGACGGGACATGGTACACAGGCACGACAACAACGGGGGGTTGCGGATGGAAGGGGACGCGTGTTGTCGCCTGTGTTTAATCAACTTAGCGTGATAAGGCGACGGATAGAGACGTCGAGGGGCATTATGAGATCCTTCGCACCCTCCACCGACTCTTCTATACTACGATCTCCTATCGGGGAAGTGTGCCTCGTCGCGAAGTCTGACGTTACGAAGTTTCCTCGCTGTGTTACTTCGTGCGATTCAACGCGGTTGCAACGCCCTGTCAGTCCCTCGCCCTCTGCCTTGTCATTATCGCCGTCTGTAGAGCAACTCCGTTCCAGCAATCTCCAGTGTCGTCGTCGACATCAGCGTTCCCGAATGCAGTACTTAGCGTGAAAGGCGGCGTGGTGCGTCGTTCTGTCGAAGGATATCGTACTTCCTTCGCCTCGCGGGCGAAGTTTCGTACGGTACGATGTCGAAGCTGAATAGTAAATCTTCCGACGCCACCTGTCTAATGCATCCACTAGGATGACGTTAAGTCTTGCCACTGCATAAAGCTACCTGTTATGCGACCGTAACATTTAACAACGACAAGCATGTCATAACGTTACCTGTTACGGTTCGCAAACTTGTTCATTGAGTGGTTTTGACTCTTCTCTTATATTGGTCATCCAGAAAGTTTGCGGGATAGATCGCCATGAACTTCGACGAAGTTTTCGTCTTGATGGATTTCGAGCTTGAAGACTACTTAAGATGAGAGATCCTTTCAAATCGTTTTCTCGTGCTACACACTTCGAATGGTTGACCGTATGGTAAATCTGTCGGAATATTGAGAAAATATATTAAATGAATAATTAGACATCATACAAAATACGATTAAATATCATTCTGTCGCTGTGTAATTCTTGGACAATAAACGTCTAATTGAAAACAACAAGAAAATCAAGTTTGATAAATGCAAATGCAAGTAAGGATAAAAAAGGTCAAGACGTGAATAAAATAAGTGACAACTTTATTTATTCTTATATTAATAATTTATTATTTTATGTATCACTATATTGTGTTTATTCTCAATTCTAATTATTAATTTTTTCATAATCGTTTCTCTACTTCTCTTGCTGAAATTATTGATATGTTAAAGAAGACTACAGTATAAAAGAGTGCAGTCAAAACGTCTATAATAATAAATTATTCTTTTTATTTCCTTTCCTTTTTATTAATTTATTTGACAATAAATACAGTTATCACCCTTTCGACTTTATTTTTGTTATCTATATCTTGACCATTTTTTATTTGTATTTTAATTAGAAATTTCTCAATTATTCATTTTTCACTACTTTTCATTATAAAATTAATTTTTATTTATTAGAAAAAACGAACGAATTAGTACGTACCTTCCGGACCGCGTGAATAGGTAACGAGGAAACAGATATATATGCTTTCGCTTTCCAGACTAGGTTTTCGGTCGTTGCATTCGGCAGGTGGACTTCCAAGGAACTTCGCAACAAACTTCTGCGAAATTCCTTCCGCCGCAATCGCCAACCGCGAAGGCCGCTTAAGGATACGACAACGTCTCCACAGGGACCCGTTGATGCAAAGTTCTTCGGCTGCCCGCAAGCTCTTTTCGACACTGTTTGGCGTTTCTTGCGAGGACGGTAACGGTCTGTCGCGTCTGCGGTTTTTTTTCTGTCCATGGATATTTCCTAAATAGCTAAGTAGCTTCTCAAGCATGAAAAACCGCTCAAACGATCTCGGTCCTTTTGTGACTGGCAATTTTTCCGTAATAAGCGAGTTTTTGCAATGCAAAGGTTTCTTTCGATTTTTGTCGATTTTTGCGTTTCTTGAAATGCTAGTTCCAACTATTTGTTATTATTGGTGAATAATCATAAACTGGTTGTCATAATGAGTAATATAAACTGCTATGCAAACATATAATCACTCTGTCCGCATTAATATATCGTATGATACGTTCTCTTGTCGTCTGGCATCAATGCGTCGACTGTCGCACGTATATCGCAACTATATTTGGCGCGTTATTAATTTTAATTATTAACATGTATACGCGTTGGACAGAACGCGAAACTTTATGACTACTCGCACATACGGGTTAATAACTAAAATTAGTATGTAGTGTGAAATATAATTAGGATTGACGCATGTCACTGGCCGCAGTACAGATTACGTCGTATATTTATCCATTTTAATTTGCTCGGTCCTCATCATTTCGCTCTGTACTGTAAATTTCATAAAAAATTATATATAAGCAATAAAAAGCGACACGTTAATTTTATATATATATTTCCGATATGATTGAATTCGAATTACTCGGTAACGTTAAATATCGTATGTTGCCATTGTCAATATCAATTATATCGCAACAAATGCTCCGGTATCCATGAGTGCGTGAAATATAAATTCCTCTTTGTCTAGTAATATAATTGATTCCACACACACTGTTGATTGTTCAATACTGGACAATGATAATATCTCATTTGAACGTTGTCAATATTATTTAGATGCGGATAATAATATTCTGCGCCGTCCATATTGGTACATAATGAATTTTCAAATGTTACTCTATATTTTGTGCAATTTGTATCAATGTTACAATATCTAGACGAATTGTCAATTAGTGAATGACAACTGGCACGATATTTGATCGCGCATGAATCTTGCGGGAAAGCACCATTTACGGTATCTTTAGAGGTAAGGCATGGAGTAGCCCAAACATCGCAATATTTGGGTCTTCTAAGACAGATGCTCGATAAATCCTTGCAATATCTTGTTGGTTTTAAAGATTCTGATAGTGTTCTATGACAATCTTTCATTGTTGGTCTTATAGGATCAAAAATCTTAGATGCTTTTATCGCTGCAGGCAAGCTAATGAGACATTTCGAGCTTTCAATGAAATCCATGGAGTCTTTCTTCAATAGTATCTTTTTTTCTTTTTTTTCAATGCTATATTTGGCTCGATATTTTGGCTTTTTATATTTTTGGGAAATCTCTTTTGTGGTTTTTTGGACTAATTCTTTTTCCTTCTTCAAAATTTTGATAGGAGAATCGACACTTCGTACAACTTCTTGTTTTGAAACTGAGTAGTCAGTCTGAGTTTCTTTTTGGTTTAAAATATCAGGCTGATCTCTTTTGGGCCTTTTCTTTTTTACCTTTGGAATACAATTTATAATTACATATTTTTCATCATTTATCTCAGTGAAAGCATGTTTATCTAACTTTCGTCGCAGAGAAGTTTTCTTCAATAATTCTTTCTTTTCTTCTGTCTTTTTTCTAGCAACAACACGATCTGCGATATCTCCAAGATCATCTTTTTTCGGAAACGTGACCGATACTGCACGCGTACGTTTAGTTTTCCTTAGGTCTTCTATTGATGGTTTTTCTTGGATATCCAAAGCACTCGGAGATTTATCTAATTGTAAGCTTTCCGAAAAATCTTGTGAATTCGATATAAAATGATTTGGAGGAGATTCCAATCTTTTCTCGTGTATCTTTGGTTGCATTACAGTCGATGAAGCAACTATTATAGCAGTTGAGTTTTCTGTTACTACAATAGGTAGTTTTTTTTCTACTATAATAGTTGGCTCTTCTTCCATTACAACAAATGAGTTTTTTTCTTTTACAACAGATGGTTTTTTTTCTACTGCAATAGTTGGTTTTTCTTCTATTACAACAGATGATTTTTTTTGTATTACAATAGATAGTTTTCTTCCTACTATAATACTTGGTGTTTCTTCCACTACAACAGATGGTTTTTTTTCTATTACAACAGATGGTTTTTTTTCTACTACAACAGATGATTTTTTTTCTATTACAACAAATGGTTTTTCTTCTACTACAATACTTGGTATTTCTTCCACAGATAGTTTTTCTTTTACTACAATTGGTTCCTCTCCCGCGTGGATAAGCAAAGATAATAATGATTTCATGTTCTCGAATGTTTGGTCTTCCATCTCATATTTCGTAGGCGCCATCGATATGGACGCGAGGATTGCAGCCGCCTGTTCTTTCGCGGAAGTGTGACGCGCTTTCTGCGTCAAAGCGTCAGTGATTTTTGCAATTTTCTTGAGAATAAAGTCCGTGTGCCGCCTATTTTCGCATGCTTTCGCGAAAGCGTCACGGCTTGCCTCCGAACTAAATTCTTCACTCACGTTAATGCTTTGAGTCTCTCTGTCAACGCATAGTGGACCGCAGCCACGATCCGAAATGACGTTATCCACGTTTTTCGCTGCATATTGGTAAGATGGGTCATGACCAAAATGATTTATGATGTTTGAATGATTTTCATGTGTTACTTTATCAAGAACATTATATAGTTGTGTAGTGAAGGTGATTGCATCGACCATTCTTCGCTTCAGCTTAACGTCAATCTTTGCATCGGGTTTAATTACATTATCTACAATCGATGATAATGAAGTATATACCGATATTTTCTCGTCAGATTTACTCGTACTAACACTTCGCTCCTTTGTATCACATTTCTTTTTTTTGCTTTGTCTTCGTGCAGTGGAGCGCGTGAAATATTTTATTATCTTATGAAAGAAGAACTTGTGAGGATTTTCTGAGGTCGATGAATCTCTGTTAGTTGCATTTGAAGTATCGCAGTGAACGGGACAATCTGTTTGTTTAATTTGACAATTTGTGTCAGAATCACCGATTTTGTTACTTGCCATGTTTGATGTGCTCAATATGTTTATTCAATATGAATAATAATATTATTATATAATACAGTTCGATCCCACATTAATATGATTAAACATGATTAATTAAATATGTTAATATTGAATAGGCTAAATTGTAATTTTGCCTCATGTTGAATAAGAAAATTATTTTGCAATGTGTAATTCTGTTTAAACTTTATAATTTTCAGAAGAGATTCATAATTAACTTATTTGTTTCCATTACTATGCGTAATTAAAATTTCAATTTGGATATAAATTTCGGCAGGGTGTGGACACGTTGAGTACATTTTTGATATGCCATAGCCAAAAATAGACACATAAATCAGTACATGTGTAAATATGAAGTTACTAAGATTCAATTAAAATAACTGAAATTCTCTCTGAATTTCTCGATATCTCGATGGTGGTTCGATTAATCTACGCCAAAAATTTGACAAACGCAAATTTTAATACTGCTGCTTAAAATTATTTACATTATGACAGATATATTTATTTATATAAATTGCTCTCGAGGGAATTTCTTGAGCATAAATTATGGAGGAATTGTTACGTCTGCTTTTCGTGTCGCCAAATCATCGTCATTCAATTGAGACGTTTCCGGATATTCTGCGATTAACGCCTCTTCTAAAGTAATCGAGTTATCCGACTGTCTTATTTCGTAACACTTTTGCTTATCACATGCAAAACATTGAACAGTCTTCGACGAGGTTGTAATCGCATCGTGAGGATCGTCCGGGTAACTGTTAATCCCTCTGGAAGTTATGTTACTTGATGACGTTTGCGTTTCTGTTTCTTTTTTGTCATCCAATTCCGATTGTAGCATTATGGTCATCAACACCTTCTTCTTTTTCTCGCCACTGAGAAGGAACTCCGATAAAATTCTCGTAACAATCGCGTCAGGTGCTTGAATGTTTACATAGGCTCGCCTCTTATTGCTTTCTCGATCGGTTTGCATAGTAGACGGATCTATTTGCATAATCTTCACTCCGTTATCGCAAGTAGTAGTGGCCCGCGTACTTGATAGCTCCTTTCTTCTGATGTCTCTTCTTCTACTCCATTTAAGTCCAGACGAGGTGATTTTATTATCGACGGACGAACGGCACCTCAAGAATTTCATCGCCGACGCACAGAACAGCGATTTGTAACGACATTGACGTTTTTTTCGCGATATTTCCGGTGAAGCAGGTGACGTCTCCCATTTAGAAGTCGACGCTATCGGTTCTTGCGAGTCGTATCGCAATGAGGGAACCGTGAGATCCGCTTCGGTCAAGGATACTGCTGCAACTGCGTTCGTCGATGTAAAGCTCCTTTCGGTTTCCGTGTCGGTCGTGTCAATGCTCTCGCACGTTTCATCGCATATTCCCTCGCACATTTTTTCGGTTTCTTCATAAGATCGTGTTTGTTCAGGCGTCGCAGATGGTTCTACTTGTCTGTTACTTTCAGAACGTTCAGATACGTTCGTCGATTGAGACTTATGATGCAGCGAACTATTTTCCGACACAACCGGCAGCATGTCTGCTCTAATCGCTTCCTGATCACCGCTTACAGATATTTCGTAATAATAAACGTGTGTCTCTTGAGATGTCCTATCGTCAGATACGGATGTTTTAGAATTTGGATGACATTTAACAGATGTTGTTTCTTCGGAAGTATGTTGCACAGATTGATCGTCTACGGTGCCCCTTGCAAAATTTCGGTTATCGTCGCTACCACCTCTATTGCGAAGCTCTGGATACGTAAATTTTTCGTGATAGACGAAGGATTCACTCAAACGGGATTGAGAATGTATGTCCTCATCATGGCTGTACGTTTCATTCCGTGGTTGAAATTCTACGATATCCCGATACTTGCCACGTTCATATTCTAGAAGAGCAATTATTATTTCCGTATCAAAGGCGAGAAATTTATATACGCGGGAAACGAGAGAATATTTTATGATATTGAATATTGTACAAGCATTCGTATCTAAATGCAAATTCTCACGTAGGTAAAGGTTAATGTAAAATTTGAATATAAACATCCTTTGTCTTTAATGTATATAAATTTGGAAATTTTCAAAGAAAAAAATAATCCTGGAATTATAATAAAACATTTGTTAATTTACGTTCAATATAGTAACGCAGATCTGCAGAAATTTGTATATTTATTTAAAATTAAAAAATTTCTTTACTTTTTTTCGATTACATTTAGCCGAAATAAAAAAATACGTTTTTTGTTACAGCGCAATATTTATGGTTCACATATTTGGAGAGATGCAGGCACAAAGAGACGACGGGAAAAAATCGAAAACCGGCAAAATTGAAAAGCAGTGAAAGATAAAAAAAAAAACGAATGTTTCGTTGTTGCGTTATCGTTTGTAAAAAAAAAAGTAATATTTTCTTCCAAAAAACGTTACATATATTTTCTAAGTTGACTCAAATATGTGCGTGCTTTTGTTGAATGTAAGTCACAAGTTTCGATGACTCTGTCAATGCAACAGGTAGATGCGTGGAGGATTGATCACTATTAATCGTACCGCTGTAATTCGCACAAGATTCTCCGCTCTCCTCTTTTCTGGCGCTTTGATACGCGTGCTTCTGCATATTGTGGCGGGTGGGTGCAATGGTTCGCGAGTCTTTCCGCATCGATGCTTTTGTATCCCCGTGATATTTTCCCACGTCCCCGATTGTACGTTCTTGACGCACCTCCGTTTTTTCCTCGCTCTTCGAGCGCATTAAATTTTTACGACACGTTTCACCGCATATTTTGCCGGCGCACGAGGACGTGCTCTCGACGAGCGTCGCGTCAACTACTTCGACGGGATTTTTCTGTGAACGTTCCGATTTACGTGCATCCTTCACAACACGGCCGACGCTCGTAGCAGCGAGCTTTACGACGTTCTTGCACGCGTCGTGCACTTGCGACCAAATTTTGCCCATCTGTAAACTCGTCCAAAGAGAGTAATCGCTCGTCTCGTGATGTTTGCCGTCTGCGTTTATATTGTCACTCTTCGTTTGCGACCTGTGAAACATTTGTGGAACTTTGCAACAAGCTTTTAACGTGCTTTTTATTAGTTCAATTTAAAAGAAGAATCGATTTGGAACTAATTAAAGAATCTGAGAAAGAAAATGCAACATGAATAAACTCTATATGTTAGTAAACTAAAATTATATAGATATTACATAATAAAAGATGTATTCTTGGGGTCACTAATATATATATTACCGTTTTATTTTATTTGCAAAAACGTTAACATAAATTTTTAAAATTATGTAATTAAAGTTTGCTACATTTAGAGTTTAACAGATTTATATTGCACTTCTTTTTTAGATTCTCTAATTCGTAAAAAGTTGATTTTTCCTTTAAATTTAATTAAATAAAGGAGGCTCATATAGATATCTCTGTTTTGAAATTTTAATGGTTTCAGAAAGTTTTCGGATTCGCGAAGCAAATCAGATCAGTTTAAATCGAACGATTAAAGAAAAAGAAACCGATAACGTTTCATTAAACTTCGATTATTTCATGTAAAAAAATAATGAAAGCGTATAATGAATATATACATAAATGTCATATAAAATAAGAATAGAGTTAGGAGGACTCTGAAAAATAAGAGCAATTTTCAAAGCAATATACAGAACGAGAGAAAAGTGGAGAATTCTATTTATCGGAAATGGATGTATGCTGTAATGTCAAAATCAGGCGGAGACTAACGTTGCTTCGACCATTTCCAGGCTCTTGCGCTTCCTTATCTCTGCGCTTTCGCGCAATTGGACAGGAATCGTCTCTTCCGATTTATATCTGTTGGACATAGTCGACGTTAGATAACAATGAGAGAAAGAGAGAGAGAGAGAGAGAGAGAGAGAGAGAGAGAGAGAGAGAGAGAGAAAAAGCGGCGCGGTTTCTTTATCATGCAGCCATATCTCAAATTCATTCAAATCGACTCTCACCTGGAATCACGTTTTCCTTTGAAATCTACCCTCGCGCGTGTACCAGCATCTATGGTCGCGATTCTTCTCTCCCATTTATAATCCGATTGTTGAACGTCAGTTTCAATGGAGTCCCGTTTCCACTTTGAATCCACTCCGCGGGCGGATCCGCCTTTTTCCCCGGGATGCTGGTTTGAACGCGACGGTTTCGCAACAACGCAATCTGCGCAACGCCGTCCGATACAGTTGTCTCTCCACGCACCTATATCCCACGTGTCGATGGCTTTCAGTGAATCTGATTTATATGACCGATCGCCGTCTTTCTCCACCACCATTGTCGTCGTCGTCGTCGTCGTCGTCCGCCATCCGCTCTTTCCAGAACACGTATCAATTTCACATAGCGATGCATCCACGGGACGTGAATCGTGAAGATCGGTAACGTTTCCGCTAGGCTCGTCGGCGAGTTTCCGGCTTGTGCTCGTCGAACTTCCTTTCTCTCCGTTGCAATTCGTGCACCGTCCGACTCCATCTGGAGAATATTCATCGGCTTCTGTTGCGAATTCAAGCGCGATATCAGATTCGAGTCGCTCGACCTCTTCCCTTTGATGCTTCTTCGGAAGAGCAGAATTTTCGAACAGTCTTGCCGTTCGCGACATCAGGGGACAACGGTCGTGTTGCATATTTATGTTGGAATCGCACTCGTTTGAGTCATAGAAACATCGGCATCTCTTCGTGCGGGTACATTCAGGATAAAAGCACTCGGCCATCCAATCAGCTTGCATCTCGGCATTGAAATCAGAACCATCTGTATTATAATCCTCCCGATCACAAATGTGATATTCTTGATGTGTGTCGTTAAAAATTGAACAGCAGTAGTTCGTGGTACATTTCCCTGTGTCGACGCATGTTTCGTCTGTGTTCAATATCGGATATCGTACGTTATCAATATCAACCACCGTATTATCGTGATGACAGCATTGCATTGAATCAAGAATTTCATGAGGCGTACAAAGCGACTGCATATTATTTTTTACATGTAACATTTGTTGTCCATTTAATGTATTTTTGAATTTTTTTGATGCACTGATAGTCGTATTGGCATTCTTATGTAATGTATTATTCATTGACTTTCTCGAATAATTGCTATATTTGCGTTTTGTTAACC